TGGATAGACCATATGTTAAGCCACAAAATAAGTCTTAATAAAATTTAAAAGATTGAAACCATACAAAATATCTTCTCTGACCATAGTGGAATGAAACTAAAAATCAATAACATGAGGAAAACTGGAAAATTCACAAATAGATGGAAATCAAACAACATACACTTAAGCAACCAATGGGTTAAAGAAGAAATCAAAAGTTAGAAAATACTTTGACATGAATGAAAACTAAAACACACCATAATAAAACTTATGCGATACAGCAAAATCAGTCCTCAGAAATTTAAAATTGTATATGCCTATATTAAAAAAAAGAAAGATCTCAAACCAATAACCTAACTTTCCACTTTAAGGAACTAGAAAGAGAAGAGCAAACTAACCCAAAAGCTAGCAAATAGAAGGAAATAATTAAGATAAAAACAGGGTTAATGAAATAAGGACTAAACAAACAATAGAGAAAATTAATGAAACCAAAAGTTGGTTCTTTGAAAAGTAAAACAAAATTGGCAAATCTCCAGCTAGATTGACTAAGAAAAAATGAGAGAAGACACTAATTACTAAAATCAGAAGTGAAAGGGGACACTCACTACTGACTTTACAGAAATAAAAAGGATTGTAAGACAGTACTATGAATAATTTTATATCAACAAACTAGATAACCTAGATGAAATGGATAAATTTCTGGACACACTCAAAACTGACTCAAGAATATATTTAAAAATCTGAATAGACCTATAACAAGTAAAGAGACTGAATCAGTAATCAAAGCCTCCCCAAAAAGAAAAGACCAGGACCAGATGGCTTCAATGGTGAATTCTATCAAGTTTTTAAAGAAGAATTAACACCAATCCTTTACAAATTTAAGAAGGGGGGGGGGAGGAGGAGAAGAAGAAGAAGAAAAAAACATTTCCTGATTCTATTCAGCCACCATCGTTCCAAAACCAGATAAAGATATCACAAAAAAGAACACTATAGACCTATATCCCTTATGAATATACATGCAAAAATACCAGCAAACCAAATCCAACAGCATAGCAAGGCAATTATACATCATGACTAATTGGAAATTATCCCAGGATTGCAAGGAGGTTCAAAACATGAAATCACTCAATGTAATATACCATATTAATAGAATGAAGGGAAAAAATAACATCATCTCAATTGATTTGACAAAATCCAAAAATTTTTCAATGCTAAAAACACCTAACAAACTAAGAATGGAAAGAATATATGAAAAACCCATAACTAACATACTTAATGGTAAAAAACTGAAAGTGTTCCCCCTAAGATCAGGAACAGGACAAGGATGTCTCTTTTTGCCACTATTATTCAACATTCTACTGAAAATTCTAATTAGAATAATTAGGAAGGAAAAAGAAACAAAGTATATACAAATTGGAAAAGAAGTAAAACTATATTTACAAGTGACATGATCTTAAATACAAATATATATAGATATAGATATAGTTATAGTCAATATAGTTATAATGAATGATCAGATGGGGAATTCACAGAGAAATGGAAACTATAAAAAAAAGAAGCCAAATAGAAATTCCTAGAACTTAAAATTATAATGTCTGGGGAAAAAAACATCCCAAATAGGTTTTGCATGCTCATGAAAACAGAAGAAAATAACAAGTGAATTTGTACAGAGAAGTCAATTTAGAAAAAAAACATAATATGAAGAAAAGAAATTAAAGATTAACAAATAAAAAAGGAAAATTCTAAAGATTCCCTACAAATCTATTAGAGCTAATAAATGAATTAGAGTTGAAAATACAAGATCAACATACACAAATCAGTTGTATTTCTATACGTTGGAAATGAACAATCCCAAAAGGTAATTAAGAAAACATTTCCATTTACAATAGCATCAAAAAGAATAAAATACTTAGAAATAAATTTAATCAAAGAGGTGAAAGGCTTGTACACTGTAGGCTACAAAACATTGTGAAGGAAATTAAAGACCTACATAAATGAAAAGTCATCCCGTGTTCATGGATTGAAAGACCTAATCTTCCAATGGCGATACTCCCCAAAGTGATCTACAAATTGAAGGCAATCCCTATCATAATTCTAATGTGCCTTTTTGAATATATGAAAAAAACTGATTGTAAAATTCATGCAGAATTGCAAGAGATCTCAAATAGCTTAAACAATCTTGAAAAAAGAACAAAATTAGAGGACTCACACTTCCTGATTTCAAAACTTATGACAAAGCTATAGTAATTAGAACAGTGTAGTACTGACATAAGGATAGGTATATAGATCAATGGAAGAGAACTGAGAGTCCAAAAATAAACCCATTCATCTACGGTTAATTGACTTGCAACAAAGGTGGCAAGACCATTAAATGGAGGAAAGAATAGTGTTTTCAATGAATGGTGCTGGGACAACTGGATAGCCATATGCAAAAGAATAGTTAGACCCTTAACTCACACCATATATAAAAATTAACTCAAAATGGAATGAAGACTTAAATATAAGAGCTAAAACTCTTAGGAGAAAATATAGGAATAAATCTTCATGATCTTAGATTTGGCAACAGTTTCTTAGATATAACACCAAAAGCATAAGTACCAAAAGAAAAAAAATCAATAAATTGAACTTTATCAAAATGTTTAAAATTTTGACCAATTTTGTTCTCTTGATAGGGTAAAAGACCACTCACAGAACAGGAGGAAACATTTGCAAAGCATATATCTGATAAGGGTCTAGTATCCAGAATATATAAAGAACTCTTACAACTCAACAATAACAAAAAAGAAAAAGAAAAAATAAAATAAAATAAAAACGAGCAAAGGACTGGAATAGATATTTCTCTAAAGAAGATATACAAATGTCCAATAAGCACATGAAAAAGTGCCCAACATCATTAGTCACTAGAGAAATGAAAATCAAAACCACAACGAGATACCTAACTTTACGTAAGCCCACTAGAATGACTTTTTTTTTAAAGGAAAATAACAAGCGTTGGCCAGCATGTTAGAGATATTGGAACCCTCATACATAGCTGGTGGGAATGTAAAGTGGTATATCTGCTGGGGAAAATAGTTTGGTGGTTTCTCAAAAAGTTAAACATAGAATTACCATATGACCCAGCAATTCCACTCCTAGGTACATATCCAAAATTATTGAAAACAGGTGTTCAAACAGAAACTTATACATTAATGTTCATAGCAGCACTATTTACAATAGCCAATAGGTGGCTAGGACCCAGATGTCCATCAGTGAATGAATAGCTAAACAAAATATGGTATATCCATACAATGGAATATTATTCAATCATAAAAGGTACTGAAGTACTAATATAGGCTACAACATGGATGAACCTTAAAAAACATTATGCTAGGTGAAAGGAGCTAGACACAAAAAGACACATATTGTATGATTGCATTTATATGAAGTATCCAGAATAGATGAATCCAGAGACAAAACATACTAGTGGTTGCCAAGGGCTGAGAGAAGGGAGGGATGATGATTGACTGCTTAATATGTATAAGGCTTCCATTTTGGGGAAGCAAACTATTTTGGAACTAGATAGTGGTGATGGTTGTACAATATTGCAAATGTACTTAAAGCTGCTAAATCATACACTTTAACATAATAAATTTTATGTTATATGTATTTTACCACAATAAAAAATGTTATCTAATTCAACTTTCCACTAAATTCACTGTCTGGCCCAATTCATCTGATTTAGTGGTATTCTGCATAAAATATAGTCATAGCTTAAATCCATAAATCAGTGAGCATCCATCCCCTATCACCGGCTTGTGTTTTACCTTTGGTTCTAACCTAATTGTTTTTTGTTGTTGTTGTTGACATATCTAACTGAAAGCTGCTTCCCTCTATAGAATCTTTTGACATCAAAACAGATTTTTGCTGACTAGACAATGATCTTCATTATAAATTACCTGTCTATTTACTTTTTAGTTCCCAAGGTTAATGGTTAGAAACTCCACTCTAAAAGCCCTCTCAAGTTCGATAACAACCAATTAACTTAACCACAGGTTAATTTGAGAATGGAAATGTTGATGTTGGCACAATCTATTAATATTCCAATTGTTGATGGATATCATTTGGTTGACAAACCTAGACGTATGAAATGCACATGCATGCCCTCTCTTGTGTCAAATGATTTTTTCATATGGATATATGTCTCTCAGACAATACTACATGTACTAACCTTTGATATTTTGACGTTTGAAACTGTAGAGGCTTTATTTCCATAAAAATCTCTATCGTGTTCTTCCTGAAATAATTGAAAACATCTGTAAACTATTTTTTGTCCAGATACTGACTTCCATTGATTATAAATTAAAGACTGATTATTTGGCTTGCGGAATTGAACAGAAAATGTAAACCACCTTACAAATCAAAAGTCAAGCATGGTAGCTCCTTCCCCAAGCATCTCCCTAGTATTGAAAAAAGAAAGCACAAAAAGAAATTTTGCCTCTGTCCTGTGCCCCCCACCTACCCACAACCTTCCACTTAGGATGGGGCTAACACGAACCTTTTTCAACATCAGGATATTCTGTGGTAAAAGCTTCTTTTGTGGGGTCTTAGGTGACTCATCATCATCAACAGAAATTTCTTCGAAGTCCTTAGAAATTGTGTCAGATTTTATATAAAATGGGCTGATGCCAGGTTGGCATAGACGCAGTGGTGGGATCTGTCAAGGAGTATAGAAGGAAAAAGTTCAAATTTGTATGTTTTCCTTCAAATTACTGGTGTTCTCTTGTTGTTTCATGGTTGAAGGACTAAGGACCCAAAGTGAAAAAAAAAAAAACAAGCCAAGGAAAGAATCTTCTACTCCCTGTCTTCGCCTACTCAAACCCAAGACCAATAGCCTTGACTCACACTTGGGCACAATTTTGTCAATCCCCAAACAAAGATAGAAACTTCAAAATGCCTATTTGATCAAAACCAGAATTCTGGTGTTATATCCCTACTAATGCTCACTATAAATCTCATTTGAATCTGATCTTTATTTTAATTTTGGGCCTGTCTTTGTACATCTAGCTCTTGTGAACATGAGTCTTTGGATTATGATCTGGGCTTGGTATCCAAACTAAAATCCTTGCTCTTATCATTCCAGGAATCGGATCTTGACTGTGTTGGTTGTTTATCTTAATCCTGTCATGATTGATTTTCTGGGATTTTTAGAAAATCTACAGAACTAGTCCTGGTTATAACTCCTTTACTTGGTTTCCTAAGAGAATAAAGTTGAGCATTTGGGTTTCCTTGGACTTTAGCAGACCAATTTAGTTGATTTCACTTTGATTCTCATAGTACATTTGAATTTGAAGCATTAGTCTCTGCCATAGGCCTTCTGATGTGGATCAATTATCTTTAACAAATACTGGCTAAGCATCTACAATGTGCCACATTTCATTCCAGGCACTGGGCCTACAGCAATGAGCAAAACAAAATACTTGCTGTCATGGAGCTGACATGCTTGTTTCTGTCATAGGCTCTGCTCCTGCTCAGGACATATGGCCTTCAAACAAAGCAAAAGAAAAGTGGCCACAGTGAGCACTTGCCAAGGTTCTACTCCGGGAGTACTCCTGGTCAGTGTCTAAGGTGCCCTCTTATTACTACCAGGCCCCACTGAGGGCTCTTGAGAAGAGGCCTTGGGGATTAACCATCCCTAAGCCCAATTCTAATAATAATAACTACAATAATGACAACCAACTTATACTGAAGTCTTGACTTTGTTTTAATATTTACTATTTCCTTCTTTTTGTTAGCTTCAGGATTAGTTCATTCTTCTCTTTCTAGGCCCTTAAGGTAGAGAGTTTGATTATTGATTTGAGATCTTTCTCCCTGCCAGGCAGGGAGTGCTTTCCATAGATGTATTTCATTTGAACCTTACGACAATTCTTTGAAGCATTTGCTCTTGTGGTCTCCATTTTACAGATGGGGAAAACCAGGTTTGAGAGATGACATGACTGGCCCTAATTCTTACAGTGGCAGAACAAGCATTTGAAAGGTCTGCTTGCTTTTATACTCTATGTTCTCAAACACTGTGCACTCCTGTCTCCTAACTGTAAGGGCCAGGAAGGCAGGAAGGGGATAATCCATACTCAAGTTCAGGAAGTGAAAGGGCAACAATCAGATGAGGTATGCCTGCTTCCTTCAGAAAGGCTGCAGAGGGAGAGTCATGCCTATGAGCAGTAAAAAAAAAAAAAACTGCTTCACAGTCTTAGTTTCTTAAATTACTGAATTCAGTTTGATTCAACAACAAGATGCTAATACTCTGCTATTATAGCTTATCTATTTATCCTCAAATAAAAATTTCTTGGAGAGTAATCTAGACACCCACATTTCTAATACTTCAGACAGGACATCAGGTAAAAATTTGACAGGGGATAAAAACTGACTCGATCTCAGGATTTCTAACAGAACGCTGTACCTTAATGTCCTCTTCCACAATCTCCCAGTTGTTGGGAATGTCACTTAATGCATTAAGAGTCCTGCCCCTTCAAGGGACCAGCAATTGACCAATTTCATACTTGCCCAGCTTTTATGCAACATTAGGTGTAAGTACCCTTGACTTAATGCTATCAACTACCGTGTCATTTAGGGTTGTCACCTTGCCACTTAAGGGAAAAGTCAATCTGGTTGTTGATGACTCAGGTTCTTTCAACACTGTATTCTGTCTTCAGCCCTATTTCCAGGGGAAGAACTAAGGGAGAAGGCCAAAGGTATGAGATGTGGGCCCAAACCAGACATTTAAGAAAACTTGCCTTTGGGCTTTCTCCACCTCCTTCATGGTGAGAGGAAATGCCCCTAGAATCCTTCCCTTTAATTTTCACAAAAATCATCTTTAAAAAAAAAATGAATATCTTTGCTATAAGAGTGTCTCTGTTTCTGGGACTGAGAGAGAAGAGAGAGAGGGAGGAACCCAACAAACACATTTCCCCTTTCTGAATATGAGAAATCACCCTATAGCACTTGGCCATGTAGACCTGGATTTTTGCCACTGGGCGGCAAGGGAGTGTAAGTGTGAAGACAAGCGAAAGCTGGTGTAGATGTTTAAAACCTAAAACTGGAAAGTTCACAAAGTGACTTTTCTTGCTATAGTGTAAGAGGGCAACAGTTTGCTGACCTAGGGGCTGCTTTACAGCCATAAGATCAACACCTTTGCTAACCATATCAGTGTTTGCTTCTCCACCCCTCATGGCTAGTGTACCCAGCAAAACTTTCACACACAGTATACAAACCAGAATGAGAGATATGGGGTCTTAAGCAGCCATGTCAGAAATAAACCCGTTACCTTTTGTCAAATGAAAAATAATCAGCTCTCCAGTGGAGAAAGGTCTCTTCCTTGTGTGGCCTTCCCAGTTTCAGGGGAATCCTTGGGTATAATCCCACCCACAATGTAAGAGAAGGAGGAAGGAAGGTAAGCTGCTAGGGGTTATCTCCCTGGAAATATCTCCAGCTCCCCCTAGAGCATTTCTCAATCAAAGCTCCTGAAGAGTCTGACTTAGCAATGATTAGGATTCGCTGGAGATAAGAGACTGTCCTAAATACATGCTGCATTTTGAAGAGACTAAAAGGTGTACCCTTCTCCCTGATAAGGCAGGTACAAAGAAATTGGACATCTTAAAAACTGCAGTAATAGAAAAACTGTGGTTTTTGAGGTTAACACAACTGAGTCAGATTTCCAGGTCTACCACTTACTATCTAGGTAAGTTTGAGCAATTTCTTTAATCTCTCTGAGTTTTTAGTCAATTCTCAGAAGCGACACTTTGAGGTAGATATTAATATTGTACCCATTGTAGATGAGAAAAAGAAGGTTCACAGAGGCTAAGCTATCAACTCAAGGTTACAGAGACAGTAAGTAGTAGAGCGAGAATTCAAGCATAGACCTAACTGTCTGACTCAGCTGCCATACTTTGAACAATTCCACTCTACTACCTCAGTGATCTTGGAGTCTGCAATCCAGGTTCTACTTCTGGGCACATATCGAGACACAACTCCAAACACAGCTTCAGAAAAACCTCTATGCACACTATCAGTTCTAGGCAGACTTCCAAAAACATGAGATCTCTGTGGAAGAAAAAACATGGGATTGGAATGCTTGCATATTGAGTGGAATGTCACTGTCATAGTACTTTAAAGCATTCTTGAGTGTGTCAAGAAAAGTGAATATGGTAATATCAGTCAACACTGTGTGTCAGGCACTAGGTAAACACACCATATATTTATATATTCTCTCATTCGATGTTTACAACAGCCCTGTGAGTTCAGAATCAGCTGAGAAGTAGAGCCAAATTCCTCCCTCCTTTTTTTTTTTTTTTGACTGAGTAGGAATAGGGAATGGAAGAGAAGTAGTCCAATTAGGCACTGATGTTCAAGTTCACTGTTACCTGCAGAGATCTGCCCCTCTGGGGCTCTGGAGAGTGGCATGTTTTACTTGTTGATCTTTCAGGCTTAGGCTCCAACATGAAGATGCTGTCATGGGACAAGCATTTGTTCCCCATGCTTCTTTTGATTCTAGAAAGGAAGGAAAAGGTCTTATAAAAGCAGCCTCAAAAACATAAGAACCAAAGATACATGTATATCTATAATATGGCCTACAAAAGACACCTCAGAAGGAGGGTGGGGATGCAAATGTGTAGACAAAAACGTTGTCCATGAGCTATGAAGTGAAAAAAATAAATAGTATGATCCCATTTAATATATACATATATATTATATACATATTTATTGAATAATATCTAGAAGGATAGCTACCAAACTGTTATTGATAGTTCACTCTAAGGAAAGGCACTAAAGACTGAGGGAGATTTTCATTTTCTACTTAATGTACTTCTGTATAACTTCAATTTTTTAAACATTTAACACATATCCTTTTCATTTAATAGTTTTATTGAGATATGGTTTATGTACCATACAATTCACCCATTTAAAGTGTACAATTCGATGATGTCAGAAACATGGCAGAGTGAGAGATGTCCCCAGATCTCTTTCTTGAAAAAAAAAAAAAAAAGGCTGAACAACTAAAACTCAACAAAAATCACCCAAACTGCACACTAGCACATATGAACAGGGGATCTGTGCATTAGAGCTACTGCAGGTCAGAACCCCAAGTTTCAGATGGAGGACTGGGAGAAACAAACAAGCTGCCTCTCGCAGACAGAGCTCCCTGTAGGAGAAGAAGGAGGAGAGAAGGTGCGGCAAGTTCCCTGAACAGCCTAGCCTGGGAGTGTTGTGAGCTCCACTCAGCCAGTGGCAGGCCCAGTAATCAAGGCAGAAAGCAGAAAAACAAGGACAGTAGAAAAACTACAGTTGATTTGTACCACCCGCAGGTACAAAACTAAGTCTGAGCCGCAGCTCCAAACCCCCAACCCAGAAGGCGCCTACCCCCATAACCTCCAAGACAAATGCAGCAGAGCCCCAGGGAAATCTGAGCAAAAGCTACCAAAACGTCGCTAACACTGACAAGAACTGAGACTGAGGGTAGCAAGCGTGATTAAACATCTATAAAGGAAAAAAGATATTATTAAGACTTTATGTAAAGCAGAGATCCAAGAGTTTAGACGCCACCTACTGGAAAACAAAAGAAAAACACGTTCCTTGCAAAGGCTAGGGACCATTATATAATAAATCTTTCTGGAAAAAAAGGTAGAATATATTTTGATTGATGCCCAGGTGGATAAATACTTCATTAAACACCAAGAACAACCAAGGTGACGAGGCATCTCAGAAAGAAAGAGAAAAATCTCCAGAAAATAAGCTTAGAGACATAGAAATATGCGACTTAAATGACATAGAATTCAGGGTGATACTTCTGAAAAATCTCAGTGAGTTACAAACTGAGTCATATCAACAATTTAAGGAATTGAAAGAAAACAACTAGATGAGCAGAGCAAGGAGATTGAAACTATCAAAAAGAACAGAATAGATCATATGGAGATTAAAAAACACACTGCAAGAGTTGAAAAATGAAATAGCAAGCTTGGGAAATAGAGTCGACCAAATGGAGGAAAGGATCGGTGAAATCGAAGACAGAAATCTGGAAATAAATCAGAAGGAAGAAAAGAGAAACCGGAGAATGAAAAAATAATGAAAGAGAAATTCAAGAACTAGCTGACACCATCAGGAAGAAACCGAAGAATGAAAAATAATGAAAGAGAAATTCAAGAACTAGCTGATACCATCAGGAGAGGAAACATAAAAATACTGGGCATTATTGAAGGCAAGGAAAAGGACAGGAACTAAAAAGCATTTTCAGACAAATAGTGGACGAGAATTTCCCAAATCTAAAGAATGAACTAGAGCTGAGAATTAAAAAAATCAACAGAACACCAAATTATCTAAACCGAAAAAGGCCTTCACCAAGACACATTGTATTAAAATTATCCACAATCAACA